TGGAGCACAGATGGAAGCTCTTGGAGAACCACAAATATAACTTAATCAGTCTTAAACATTGCAAACTCCACAATATTCATAATTTCAAATAAAACCTATGAAGTTGTCAGGTTGCAGTGAAAGCAAGCTGTTTTGCAAGGTGAGATCACTTGTTTCGTGTCGCGTAGCGACCCTCGACGCGCCCCTTTTATATTACGAAGCATAATAAAGGGGTTGCTGAGCGCAGGTTGCTGCGGACGAACCTGTCGCTGCATCCTTTCACAGGAAGAGTCCTGATTGAAGGCTATTAGGGGTACGAGTTAACAGGTTCCAGCGTCATCCTCGCAATTACGAGACGACTGCGTAGAAATAGTTTCTAGGAACGAGTTCAACGATTGTCGCGAACCTTGGACATCCTCTCGTCGATTTGTAAATGATTCATAAAATAAATCCTGGCAAGACAACTTCCTTCGAACAGAAGATGAACTACTTAATTGCTTAACAAGCGTATTATAAAAATATCGTAATAACAGTAGCAGTGGAATACTTAACGAGTTGCAACACTGATTCTCAATTAATTATTTGTATAGCAAATGACAAGAGATCTTCCAAGCAAACGAGTCAAAATTATATTCAGAATTTTATAATAGTAAAACATTATTTTTCGATAGACTCAAGGCTCAATATGTTCGATTATAGACTGACTATGACCGCACTTCACCCACACGGACACCACACGCTCGTGTCACGTATCTTTTCACACCCAAAGCTTCATGCACGTTCCTCGAATTCATTCAAACTCGAAACCTGTCTCACATCCCGAACAGTCGTTCGAATCTCCATCCTAAACGCTCGTCGCGTACACCCGGGGCACAAAAAGTTCATTCACCCCCGTACGGTATCCTTCGCGACTCCGTACACTATACTAACCCCCTTATCATGCTCGAAACACGTCTGTTTCCATTAAAATTATTACTACAATATCGTATTCTTACTCAGAATATTTATTAAAATTGGTACATTTTCTTTATTCGATATTGTTACACCAAATTACATTAGAACTACCAAAACAGTCAAAATGAATTCTTGTAAATTCACTATAGTTTTCTATAAGAGAACGAATAAACACTTATTTCCATTGCATTATATATTTCTTCTCGTATCTATCGTTTTAATTTCTAATTATTGGTAGTTCAAGTATAAACGTGAGATAAAATAATATTCTTTAAATACAATAACAATAATATAATTAGCCAGAATAATAAGAATAACATAATGACGATCTTCTACGTCCCTCCATTGCTTTCTTCTGTAACTTCGATGTTTATACTTGCTTTGAAGTTGCGAAACATGGATTGATCTCGGAGATTTCGACGCTGGCAGAAGGGATCACGACGGAAGTACCAGAGAGAAGCCATTGGCCTTACGTTGGGTTCGCGGTTAGGTGTCTGCTCGATCAAACGAAACGCCTCAGCCTTAGTCGACCTACTTCCAAGCGTCGACCACTCCCTAGGATCCTTTTTTCCCCCCGAGTTTTTCCTTTCCTTTCCTTTCGGCTACCCGCAGAGCCGATTTCACGCCACTGTTTATCGTTTATCCGTTTATCGCGAGGCCAGGCCAAACAATGAGCGCCGATCTCTCGGCCTGTAATGTCCATCGGGGACGGCCAGAGAGATTTTTGCGACGGAAACGAACTCGTTGCACCTGTACCATCGACCAGAACGCGTACGATCGTGGTCGTGACCAATTCGCATTGTTCTAAAGCCTTTCTCCGAACGGTTCGATTTATTTTATCGGTCACGAATCTCGTTGTTCTCCGGGGAAGAAGCAGCCAAGCCGATTCGCGTTTTGTCCGGACACGTCAGTGTCTCTTAACATCGAAACAATCAGCGTTTCGGTGTACTGGGCGTGACTCATTCCGCGACAAACCGTTTACTTTTACGCTCGACGCGCAAAGAGATCTCGGTATAATTTAAATGCGTTGCAATTTCGATGCAAATAAGAAGGGTTAACATCGTTTTGCTGTTCCGCAAATTGGTTGAAAAATAGATATCTCGTGTTTGCAAATGTCTGGAGATCGACAGTTCGACCGATAAACTTTGTTTGCCAGGAAACAGGACGTCATGGCCGTCGTCGACACTTTGACCCGTTACTTTTGAGCGTTGAGCCCCGTTGGGGTGGACGTTGTGGCTCGCCTTGGGCCATATCTTTGCAACGATCCAGTTCGCGGGGCCTTGTTTAAAGTGGAACCCTCTACACGACGCGCTAGAGCAGTGGTGCGCAACCATTATCCTCTCTACGACGAGCAAAACAAAATAATATTCCCATCGCGTCGAACGTCAAAATAAAACAAACGAAAATACCTAATCTCCGTCCCAATAACATCAAATTTATTTAAGATCGTGTTTCTATGGGCCCATAAAATTTCTTAATATTAATGTTCCTGGTACCCAAGGATTTTTAAGACTCAGAGGACCATGGTTGAGAGTTTCTAGTCGAAGCTGAGAGATAACTGTGCGATCTTTCGCGTTCTCTGAAATCTCTGACGGTTCCCCGTGGATCTCGAGGTGTCTTTCGATCTCCATCTTCCGATAACGCGACACGGGACGACCCGTACCGACTAAATTGCTCGAAAACCCGCAACACGAAGACTTGAATACCCGGCTGCGAGTCTCGACGGGGAGCCCGTTCCTCCCGCTGGACTCGAAGTACCGGTTCTTACTTCTTTTTCTCTGCCACGGCCTCCCTTTCTTCTTCTTCTTCTTCTTCTTCTTCTCTGTCCTGTCAGAGGAACAGGGCCCCGCGAGAGACCGAGACTTAGGAAATACATTTATTGCACACTCCGGAGCCCTCCAAGATCGTTTAGTCAAACTACAAAGTGTGATATACTAAAATAATAATATTAAGGAGATTAACTAATAACCAGTCGATGACAGAAGCTAGAAAAATTTGTATTCCTTGATGTTAGTGAATATTTTGACGTATAGAAAATATAAAAAGACCTAAATGGGAGAGTTCAGAGTGCACAAGGGAACGAGAGAAAAAGAGAAAAAGGGAAGTAAATCGAGAAACTGAGACACAGCTCCCTTGACAAGGGAAGAAGTTATGGAAAGAAGGGGTGGAGGGACGAAGATGGAGATCGGTACGCCGGTCACGAAGCTCTGGTCGGTATTTATAGCTTGGCCCCGGACCTGTTCGAGGGATTCGGTCGAAGAATCTCACGTACCGGTCGATTCTTTCTGCCCCGAAGGTTGCTCAACCGCGAAACCGAACCGCCATTTTGGTTCCTCCCGTCGTTACCTTCGACTCCGTTCTGTGACGTAATCGCTTGCGTAAAGAATCGTCGTTAGAAGCGTTCTCTAAACTCGTGGGCCTAATCTAATCCTAGAAACTTGTTTCGCTTCAGGGACGAGGCTCTCGCGATCGCCATTATGCGAAACGGACGAGGACGTCGGGGTTAAACGTTCTCTTCGATTATTCGCCACAATGAGACGTAAAACTCCCATCGTTAAAAGTGTAAAAACGCTAAAAGATATATTTATTTCTTTTTGTCCAAATGTTTTTAAGTTTCTGTTATTAATGGAAATGCACGAAAACTTTGTAGAATATTGTAGTTAATATCTTCGTTTCATAAATAAGCACATTTGGTGTATTGTCAACAATCCAATCACTATGGAAGGTTCGATGACTCCAGTCATCCTAAGCAGAGAGTTAGAAGGATTGTTGAAAGGCCAATTCGATTTAGTTGGACTCCTCGAAATGGTGGCTGAAAGCGAGTAGCAGAAAAGGTTTTCCTCGTGGTTGGCCAGCCTCACGCACACACACACACAGGGCGCACGTGCTCGCAAAAACATCGTGTCCTCGCGGCCGGTTTCCTGGTTTCCGCTCGAACGGCTTCGTCGGCCGACACGGTGTCCTCGTGCTCCATTCGCGAAACGCGCAGTCGATGTCAAAGTCAAGAGAACGCGACTGGGGAGTCCCGACAATGGGAGAAAATGGCCGCTCGATGCGATGGGACTCGAGATTTTAAGCGAGCAACATTTTATTCCACCTACAGGTGGGCGGGCTGAGAATCGCTGCGATACGAACACAAAGTTTCCAAGTTTATCGCTACGCTATTCCTCAAATCTTAACTTTTTCCACATTGGCTGGTTGGAACTTATTATTAGTAATAGCTCATAATCGTGCAAGTAGAAACACCTGGTAATAGACAGACATTCTATGAAGACTTTGCTGATTAATTTTGCAACATCCACGATCTCGAAAGTAAACGCAGTTACGAGGGAGAAATGGTAACTTAGTCGAAAGTAAACACTTGCACGAAGAAATTTGATACAATATTGATTTATCAGTGTAAAATAGTGGCCACAAATTGAAACCAGATACATTGGAGCGTAACGCTCCGGTTTTATGGGAACAATAAGATCGGTGGAGGTATTGGATTAATAAAAACAAGATCGCGGGGGCCATTAAGGCAGCGTTTAAGAAGATTTATCGCGTTTTCGAAACGGGTTGAGAAACACAATGATCGAGACGCCCGTGGAAGGTTGCAAACCGAGAGAATCGCGTGCCCTTCGCCACCTACGGGAGCAGCGGTTTTTCGAGCGGGTTTTAATGGCGGTTTCGAGACAACGTCGCCGAGCGGAGGACGAATTACGAGGCGGCGCGCGAAGGACGCGCGGAAAGAGAGTAGCATACGGTACCCAGGAACCCCCTCAAGGTTGCTCGTAAATTCAGCCACGAGTCGCGCCACGGAGCCCATATTATAACCGTTCGCGCGTTACGTATTCCAGACCAGTCCATTGAAATTTCCTCACAAACGAAATTTGCGAATCTCAATACGATCGAAAAACAATTCCGCGAGCATGGAATCATAGGCAGTTTTCAGTAGCAAACAGTCTCATAGGTTACTTTGCAATCCTATCTTTGTGAAACTTTCCATTTTTTTATAAGAAATGACCACGTTAAATACTGATCAAATAAACGATCTATCCTATCAAGAAATTTGGTCTGATCCACAGATCGCGAGAAAACGGAGGACGATCGCGCGACTACGCCCGAGTCGCTTCGCAGCACAAGTCCAGCGTCCTCTCCGCCGCCCCAGTGGCAGTCTGGCACCCCAACCAGCGCACCCCCTCGACGATTCATCTCGAGCATCCTCGGCGGGGACGTCCCCTATGGAAGCAGGGGTCACGTGTTGACCCGGGCGGAACGCAAGGAGTACAGCAGCCCGCCGATCGCGCCCTCCTCCAGCGATGCTTCTCAGTTTCTCGCGAAATCGGAGAAGCTGGTGCTACCGAGACCGACCACCCCTCCAAAGACGCCGCGTGTCGAGCCGCCTACCAGGGTTTCGGTCATTCAGAGGGTTCCTCCGCAGAGCCAATCGACGTCCAGGAGGGAGGACAAGCTGGAGGTCCCGCCACAAACTCAGGAACCGGAACAGGTATGACTCTTTTATGCTCCACAGTCTCAATACTTGAACCCTTCCATATTAGAGAGGACCAAAGACAGAGCAAACATTAAACAAAAAGTAGTTTATTCGAGTCCCAGGTCTCAGATCATTGCTCAGAGGTACAGATCATCCTTTTTCTCGCAAGAGAATTCTCGAGTGACTCCATTAAGCTTGTCCTTGGGTAGCCAACCGGTAGCTGGACCTTTCCATCCCGTGCGTTTCATGAATATGGATCGGAACGCGTTAATTTATAATAACGGTCGAAGGATCCCTGACCGGGGGGCGGGAGGGACGGTGAACGAGGCTGACATTGGTCGTTATCTGTGCAGGAACAGCCCATCGATTACGCAGTGCCGAAGAGAAAGGAGGAGGACGAGGAACGGGGCCGCGAGGGCGCAAAAGTGTCGCGCACAATAGGCAATTCCATCGCGAGGCCGTTGTTGGCCATGAGACTGTCCGGCCCCCAGGTCGTGCACGCGGCGGCGGGTCACGGAAGATCCTCGAATTCCGGCGGAAACGGCGGCTCCAGTTCCGGCGGCGGTTCCAACAGCTCCGGCGGCGGTTCGTCGTCATCGAATTCTGGCGGGAGCGGAGGTTATTGCGGCGGGGGTGGCGCGGTCACGGGAGGCAGCGGGGGCGGAGGCGCTGTGGGCGGTGGAGCCGGCGGCGGAGGAATGAATCCCGGTGGGAACGGTGGTCGTGGAAACTATGGACCCAGTTCCCCACCCACCGGCTCCCTGCCGCCTTTCTATGAGTCTCTCAAAGGCGGGAACAATCTCGCCAATTTCGCCAACCAGTACAACAGCACTCAAGGTAGGATCGATGCTTTATCAATCGCGATAACTTGACTCAACCCCTAATTCTTCTGAAAGTACAATTCCTCGACTCTATCTAGCCATAATCGCATGGACCCAGAACTCTGTTAACTCCGTAGACCTAAAAGTGCCTAAAACCTTCTCGTTCAAGACCTCAAAAAGGCTACCTACCACCGCAATAAAGGGTTAAACGAAGGACCCATGGGCCTCCAAGCACAGTCACAGCCGCCGACACTTGACCTGGCTCGGATTAGGACCCTTCTTAATTCCTCCCCAATGCCTACTTACCCTCCAGTTAATCGCTAACCCTAATTTAACATCGAGACCCCAGCGCCAACGACGCAAACGATCGTTTCAGGGAACGGTTACCTGACGCCATCGCCGACGGTGGGCATGGAGTGCGACACAGGGCAGCAGGACGTCAACTCCCAGCACTCTCAGTACAACGCCCAGGAGGGCAAACAGTACTCCCTCCTTCAGAACGTCTGCGCGTCCTACGGACTGACTCTGAAGGAGGAGGAGGATCTGTGCCCCTACAAGATTCAACCGAACGACCTGCTGTCGGGACAGTACGGAGCCTACGACATGACGGACACAGGGATGATGGTGGACATGGTCACGGGGGCGGTGGTCGATCCCCTTCAGTTCACGGCCACGCTGACCTTCAGCTCGCCATCGGATCACACGGCGTTGCTGGAGAGCCTGAGCGACGCGGCGGATCTGTTTCTGCCGAGGCTACCGGCCGAGGATGGCGGCAACGACCTCTTGGAAGAGTCGTTGCACTCGACAGCCTCCGCTGGCAGCGGTATCGGCAGAGACGGTGGCCAGATGACCACTCCCGTGGAGCCCAGCGTCGATCCTTTCCCGGAGCACAGCATGGCCTTGACCAGAGGCTTCGACACGTCGAGGTGAGAGAGAGATCCGTTCTCCGCGATCACCATTTTCGCGATTTTCACACGCGATACGCGAGGTGGTTGTCGGATATCTTTGATCCAAGCCTGTTCCACGCTGGCAAGCAATCCTAATGGGGATTGATCCCACCAGAATGTGACTTTGGGTCGCTTGCTAGCTGTGGAATGGCTTGGAGACTTTGAAATTAGGAGGATTCGAAGCTCAGAGCTCTTGAAAGTCTTGGAAAATACCACAGTAGCGTTGAGAATGTAAAATGTCTCTGTTCAGGCATTACACGGCGGCTCCTCAGCACTTCAACGCCTCGAAGCTGGGCCTGACGTACACGACGGGCGAATCGAGCTACCATCAGTCGGTTTCCAAGGAACGCCCGGAGCTCGCGTTGCACATGAACCAAAACCACCAGCACCAGTCGGAACCACAGCTGCAGCAGCTACAGATACAGGTCCAGCTGCAGCAACACCAACAGCAACAGCAACAACAGACTGCTGCTGCTTCGCCTCATCATCAACAACACCAGGGCCTGTTGAGTCCAGGATTGAGCTTCACTGGCAGTGGTTAGTTGTTTCTGCTAGCATCTCTTAGCTATAATACCTTATATAGGCTGTTTCATAGAACTGGAAGGTTCTTTTTATCGTAATGGTCACTCACTGAGATTAGGTTACATTACGCTCAATGGATATATCTGTGTGTCTATCTGAACGTTCGTCGATGTCGACTCGTAGGTCTGGAACTGGACTCTGGTAGCAGCGTGGGCGGAAGTCTGCCGAGTCCTGGTGCAGCGAGCTGTTCGTTGGACGCAGCTTCGACCAGCACGTCGCCATCTTGCGCGCTGATGGAACACGCGCCCAGCCCATCAGCTGCAGCCGCATCGGTAAATAACGTGCAAGCTACCGGACCGGTCGGAGAGCCACCACTGACGCAACGGGTCGGTGTACTACAGCAAAGGGTAAGCACCCGAAATTGATCCAGGCAAAGGCATACTTTTCGTTCTCGTGGTTGCACATGACCATCCATATCTATATGGCACTGTTACTCGACGTTTCCATCTCGCAAACCTACTTTTACAAGCATACATAACTTATTCTTAATACAAAACTCGAAAAGAAACCAATAGATTAAAATTTCTAGGCACATTAAATAAATTCCAACAATTCTATTTATATCTTCAGATTCGAATTATTCGGTATTCTGAAGGAATCGAGAAATGTTCAGAGAGTGTTTTTTAGTTTATAGCCCCTCCATATATTGTTCGAGACGTTTTTAAATCGGTAACATTGCCACATAGACGTTTAAACATCGCGTCATCTTGTTCTCGGCGTCAGTTTTTAAAGGAACACGAGCATATTCCGAGCGAATCGAAATTCACACACGCGACCGTAATCACGCCTTTATGCAATGCCAATCAAATTGAGTGCTTCATCCAGTACCACCGATTGCACAGTAAGCACGGCCGAAAAAATATTTGTTAAATCGACCGTCTTCCCTCTACAGTTGGGACTGCCAGGCGATTGTCAGCTCGAGTTCGTTAACGGCGGCCATGGGATTAAAAATCCCTTGGCGATCGAGGGTCAGAGACAGGCGGCGGCCACTCGCGAGGAAGAGAGGGCAGCCCGACCTCCGCCTGGCAAGGTAAACGTCATTCTGCAACGCCTTTCCTCGCTCAATATATCGCGCACTTTATTAACCCGAGGCGCGATCGCTAGCCAACAGTTCTACATTTAGAGCTCCACAGACCTAGATCAGAATTTACGATTAAAGAACGTGCAATTAGTATGCCAGTTGTATACTTCTGTGCATAGGGTGGGGCTGGATTGACATTATCCGTCGGTCGACCCGTCCACTCGAAGCTTCCTTGCACCAAGAACGCTTATTATTCTTAAACACTCTCCTGACAATATACTTTTACCCTTAACAAAGAATTTGGATGTAAAATATGTAAGAAAAGAGTTTAAAGATAGATATGTTTGCTTGGAGTATTTACTATCTATTTCGTGAGAAAGTGTGCTTGAGTTAGTCCACCAATTTTAGTTTTTACTTTACAAGGTACTAGGAGTAACCATATCAAGACCATAGTCCATATTAAGCACTTTTACTCTCCTATTATCTTTTCTAAAATATTGAGAAACATTGCAAACTGAACTATTGCAATAGAACACACTCCAAAGATTGGAGGGGCAAAGTGTTCAACGAAATACAGCGAAGGTTCGCGGATTTTTCAGGACGACGACCCGAATCGCTTCACCTGCCGCGTGTGCAGCAAAAACTTCAACCTGCAGCGGCTCCTAAACCGCCACATGAAATGCCATAGCGACGTGAAACGCTATCTGTGCACGTTCTGCGGCAAGGGCTTCAACGACACGTTCGACTTGAAGAGGCACACCAGGACGCACACGGGCGTTCGACCCTACAAGTGCAACCTCTGCGAGAAGAGCTTCACCCAGAGATGTTCCCTCGAGAGCCATTGCCTTAAAGTCCACGGCGTTCAGCACCAATATGCATACAAGGAACGACGCACAAAGGTGAGAATCAGAATAATGCATCGCCATCTTGCGCAAGAATCGCTCGGAACAAATATTCTTTCAAAGACACCTACGTTATTTCAAGTCCTCTTTTGTGGATCTTTTAAAAGATGGCAATTAACCTTTTTCGTTCATTCTCGTTTTGTCAAGGTTTACGTGTGCGAGGAGTGCGGTCACACGACGCAGGAGCCAGAGGTACATTACCTGCACCTGAAAGACAAGCACCCGTACAGCCCGGCGTTGCTGAAGTTCTACGACAAGCGACACTTCAAGTTCACCAACAGCAATTTCGCCAACATGTTGCTCCAGGTGCGCACGTAAACTCCGTTTAGAGTAACGGGTACCGACAGTTATAAGACGCACGTCGTGCGTCGAAAGTTATGAAAAAAGTTAAAAAAAGTCTACCCTTCGTTCCTTCGCGAGCGTTAACCGGGGAGTTAGGAAGGGGGGGAGGGATTAGATAAACGGGTTGCGATCCGAAGGAACACGAAAACCGTGAAACAAGACAGTATAAGATAGTTTCCTACGAGGACTAGGCCCGAGAAAGTATATAGAAAGGGACACGTGTAGAGTAGGACGTGGAGCAGTGTGTCCGGGATAGTTGAACGACAGAATAGCGGATGTCAAGAACGCGAAATTGTTCTTGGTCATGTAACTCTTCAGGGTGGCCTGTTGCAACGGGACTCGCGGAATACAGACAGCTGCGTAAAGTCTGCGTCGAAAAGCCACGAGGCGCCCCATCAACGAGCCACGACGTTGTTGCGTTTGGGCCGAGCTTCCAGCTTCTGACCGACGGGGGGCCGCGGGGACGCCACGGAAGAGGAACAGAAGCCGGAAGACGGGAACGGAGGCTGCTGGTGACTCCACGGTGACTCCTGGAAGCACACGCCATCGAAAACGGGAACACACATCCCCCCCGGAGCAAACGCGTCGCGCGAAAAGTACCTGCAGGTGGCTGCCCTTTAGCGGTGACACACGGAAACGGCATCGTGGGCCGATGACGATCGGATTCAACCGAGAAATCGAACTCGTGACAGCCACGATCCTGAAACCTAACGCGACACTCGTTTTACGCGGTGTTTCTTTCCGATTGTAGGTATATATATATATATGTGTGTATATTTACGTGCATATGTACAGAAAACTATGCTATCTAGGTTATCTGCGAAACGAATCTTTTCAACGAGGCAACCGCGCAACATTCGAGGCCTCGAACTTTGAACCCAGAGACACACCAAGGTGCTCAGAATTCAGCGAGACGATCGTGTCCCCCATAAGGTTGTTAATTTTCAAGGTTCAATGTGTCGCTTATTTTTATGTTATAAACACGATTCTCTCGAGAAATTTTGAGCCCAAATACGATGTACAGTCCTGGTCGAGAAAATGTTGCGTGGTTTTCTCGTGAGTCGCGAAGACTACGCCCGAGGACTCGGATCGAACGTTTCAGGAATGACGATCGCGCCGCCATCTTGTATGCTGAGATCGGGGGCGCAGATTTCTTCGAACGATGTTTGTTTTCAAGCGATATGCACGGCAAGTTACGTTGCTTTCCGACTCGTAGGGCGGAGGAACGTCCAGGTTTAGGCGACGTAGAGCGTTTCGCGTATCATTCCCGCTGGATGGCGACGACGCGCCATCGGTAGAAACGCGTCTCGCGTCCAGCCGGATCGTTTGTACGTTTCTTTTTGTCCGAATCGTTTGCGTTCCTCGTTGACTGACGCGTTCGGGGATACGCGTTGCGAAAAGGATTCATATCTTTTTTTTATTTTTTTTCGTTTAATTAATAGAACGCCTATCGGTACGCACCTTGGGAAATCTGTGATATGATAAGACACGATTTTACTCGCTCCTTCGCGCACGAGATTTCGCTTCTTGCACACGTTGGTTCTTTCATGGGGTACGCACCGACATGGTGGAGCGAGAGATTACACGCCACACACACGCAAACACATATACACGGCGCCTTCCTGTGTGTCGGGGAAATATCGTTACCCGCGATATCCCTCGGAAGTTTGGGATCTGTCGATGAGGATGAAAATGTTGATTATTTAATATTTTCAAACTTGCAGGTATTGAACAGCAAATCTTGACCCTCCAGGGTATTTTCTTAAATGAAACACTCTATACAGGTGGATGTATCTTTCATCAAACTTGGACATACAGTTTTAATATTTCCATCTTCTTCTCAATATTCGATAACTTCTATTTAGGATTAAAATTCCCTCGATTCCATCAACTATATTAATTTAGTCAAGTTTGAATATTCTAGACTAGCATTCTGTCGTCAATGCTCAGACTTTCGAGAGGTAGCGTATGTTTGTCAATTGTAAGTGAACATGTCCCGATAACAGTCACAATTTTTGCTATTAGAACTTCCTGGATTCTGATAGAATCATTCGATCACTCGTCTAAAGCGAACACAGTGACGCCCCTCTTCTTGCACCGCGAGATCGATCTTTCATGCAGAGAGGGTAGTTGCAAGTATCCCCCTATTTTGCAAGAAGCGGGGCGTTGTTGTCTTCGCGCCGACAGACAAAGAGCCGTGCACCAATGTACACACAGACACAATGGGGTTTCGTGCAATTCTACGGTGGTAGGACATATTTTTAGTACGGGGCGTGGGGTGGGCGGCACATAGGAAATCGGTTCGTGATTAAATAGACTGCGTAAAGAAGCAGTCGCGTCTTCGTCGGGTGTTCGAGGGCTTGCGGTAAACCCGGTTATATGAGTAGCGATAATTAGCGGAATTACAGTCCGCGAAACGGGTATGTATACATATGTAGGGGCGAATCGGGTGCTACGTAAACGTAAAGTGCACGGGGATAGCGCATCTTTCGTTTCTGTTAAAAAATTTTTAGTCCGTAACGCGAGAAGAGGGGTTGGATCTACGAACTCTTGGAACTCTTTAGGATGTCTGCTGTTCGTAGAATGAAATCTCGTGGTAGTCTTTGGACTCGCGTAAAGTTTAGGGATCGCTTGGAACTTAGTAACGTTTAAGTCCGAATAAACAATGGCGGGGAACGAGAAAGAGAACGCTGAATGGAAACGTCTCGAAATGTATACTTTGGAGCAGCGGGGTGCATCTTTTTCGAATAACGCTGAATGTAAATAGTATTCACGTAGTTAGGCATAGAATCGTTAGTGTTTTGCATAGTACGAAGAACGTTTCGTCTCGGCGAGCATTGGGTGAATTATTGTACATAGCGAATGTTAGCCGGGTTGCACCGAGATAAAACAGAGAATCGATCCGCGATTATGTCAGTACCTTCGATCCTTTTTCTTTTTTTTTTTTTTCTTCTTTTGTCAATGTATACCGAACTTGTATAGTATTTCCCTTGGCAATACTCAAGGACCATGGTACTTCGTCGCAAATCTGTTTATCGTCGCGAATAATATTTTATTGCTAATATTATTATATTATTATATTATATATATATTATATATTATGATTTCTATCATGATTTTATTTAATTTACGTCCAGTATTGTCTGAAACAGTAGTACTTAGATATTTTTATGGTCGTCGATGATATCGAATCCCACATTTATACCTGCTATCGTTTACATCAATATTCACCAACAGCTACTCCATCTTGGGCGCCTGAACGCGCCCGGGAAACTTTATCACCCACTAGTACTATTGCAATTATTAATATTATATTATTATTTGATATCGTTATTGCTGCTCGATTAATAATTCTGGTTATTGACTTTATTATTAATATATAAATATATATATAGATATATACATAGAAATATATGTATATCGTCGTTACTTCCTCGTCTGCAGAAACGACTTCTTTTTTTTTCTCTCTCTCTCTCTCTCTCTCTCTCTTCTTTGTTGCGTGGAGAATCCAGCTGATCGAACGCATTTCGCGTTGGATTTCCTTTCTCTTGAATGATTAATTGCAAAAGTGTGTGCGTATGTGTATGCGTGCGTGTGTATGCGCGAAGAAGCAACCGTGTCTCGCATGACTGTTCAATATACTGTGTATATCATATATTTTGGGAGACTTAAAAAAATTTCGAGCAATCGTCGTCCGGATATCGATCCAGCTGTTAACCCGATCGTCGTAATGGATGCTAACCGTAATGAAACGCGGATACGCACTGTCTGTGTATGTAGAAATGGAAAAAGATAATAAAATTGATATTATATGTACGCGAGCGTTTCATCACGCGTGGCGGAACAGCGTGATGTCTGGCTAGGATTCTGGGGTAGGTATAGACCACTTAACACGTACGAATCCCTAGCACTTTCCCTTTTTCCTCGATTTCATGGGATTCGACCGAAAAAAGTAAAATCTAATAATTGCATATCGTGTGGGAATTATAATCAGATTTTACCCAATTGGATAGATCCAGGATAAGTAGAAAGGAACGTCAGGCTTGCTGCATAAATATATATTCCAACTTAATCTCTCACATTGATATACCTGCACGATTAGGCGTATTAATATAATACAACGAAGTCATAGGATTCTTCCACTAGCGAGTATCCTCACGACGAAGCGAAAATTGGTATTTCTCGATGATCGATACCTAACGGAAGCTGCGGGTCCGATGGGACGAGCACGTGGGTCGCGCGAACGATCGGTCGTCGATGCGTTCCGATGCGAGGCTGCAATGTCAAAATGATAAGAGACAGAGAGAGCTACACTGCTACGGTTAAACTACTACTCCGGGATGTGTTTTATCTGCAACAGAGAATGACGCCGTTGTGGTGACGACGATAGTCCTCGGCGGGGACGCGCTACGTAGCGTGTGTGGCACGGTGGGTAAAAATTACAGAATTTGGTCGTGCGTCGGGCGGCCTGCTCGACTCCCGACCCTCTCCGGTCTGTGTGACTTTTTTTTTTTTTATTTGGTCATCGTCGATCGCTGTACAGCTCGATAAACACTCGACTCGAGCTCGATCAGCGATAATGCAACACTTGTGTGTGTTTTTTTTTTTTGTTTACTCACTACTGATCACGGAGCTGAACGGCATGTATCTGGGCTTCGCGGCTACCTTCGACGCGTCTTTTCGACCCCCCGGTGATTTCTCCTCGCTGAGAAGACGTTTCACCTGGAAACACCAACCCTACTCGTTCGTAATTTGCAATAGAGGGGGCAAATATTGCGATATCAAAATCGAATCAGCTGTAACAATATGACGCGGTTTCTAAGCTCGTAGAATTTACCTGTTCGTCGATAGCATTGAACTGCCATTTCCACGTGTGATTGTAGAGGAATGGTCGATGGTCGAACCTGTTGTCGTCGGGACTGTAAGTCTCCGCGTGGCAGGACGGCGTCAGGATCGTCATTTTGTGGCGATTTATCGCGTAGCATCTATAAAAGTGTTTCACCTTGTCCGCCACCTACGACGGAATTCGAAACGTTAACCCTTTCTCTGCAAAGGGAGGTTACTTCGATAGCTATCGTCTTTACTTCTTTCGGAGAGGACTTGTCCCACACGTGGACGAGTCTGCAGAACATCGAGAAGGGTCCGTCGCAGTCCTGCTTCCTCAAACGACCGAACGTACCAAGCTCCTTGTACGTCATACCCATGTCAACTTCGTCCAACTGCGAGAGTTGCCCACCTTGGAGAGGCTCCAGCTCCGCGGTCGCTGGCGCGTTCAGGATTCCATCCAAAGCGGTTAATCCGTGTTTCCTCCTGTTGTAAACCCCAACAGGGGCACACGAAACTATTCAAACTTCTTCAAACTCACAAAGTTAACTCGCTGCATCCCCTATGTATCTTTCAAGCACATCAGAGTGCATTTTATGTCTTCAAACGCCTTCAAATCGAGTTTAAGAGTCACCAGTACTCACCTGAAATAAGCGAGGAACGATTTCAAGTCGTTCTTGGCGATTCCGCCTATGGGGTTTATGTCCGCGCTGCTGCAATCGTATTTAGTGAAATATCCTCGAAGAGCTTCGTCGACGTTGCTGCACCCCAGCACGAGAAGACCTCCAGGTCGACCTCTGACCCACAGCATCAACTGAGCGAACAAGTACGCGACCACCATCCTCAAGCGTGCCTTCAGTACGAACGGAATATTAGGAAATTGATTATCATCCCTATTACTACAGCTATGTATCGAAAGAGTTATTAACTTGAATATTCTGCAACGCCAAATTCTCCCTGGGTGAGCCTCCCTGGACCTTGAACCTCGGTGTCAACTTGGTGACTTGTTGGAAGATGGTCAGAATAGCAGAGACAGCCAAGTCGATCACTATACTGTGATGATAGGAGCCAATCTGGCTGGCCAGCTCGGTTGCACGCGCCTTAGTCTCCCCGGATGAGTTTTCCGTACCCATGTAGCACGTGACAAGTATGGTGGAGCATAATTGTTTTGGGTCCGTGGGTACATATTCGCAGTCACCGACGATCTTCCTGATGTCTGACAGCACCTGGGCGTCTGTTCACAGACGTTTAAAAATATATTTAGGATAGTCATAGTTTAAGATTAGTGATTACAATGCTACGTACCCCCCTTGTTCACGGAGTCCACGATCATGTCACACATGGAGTACACAATGCACGCTGACGAAGCTGAGTCGACCCCACCGCTCAAAGGTAGGAAAAATCCACCCTGACAGGAACGCCTTCCCCCACGAAACACGATATTTTACATTATAAACAACAAAAGCGATATAATAGCGCTGGTGTTTAATTTAGAAAAAATGTTGAACCTCAGATAGTCCCAGAGCCAGCAAGCAGGCGCCATGGAGATCTCCTCTTCTGGAGTATGATAGAGAAGCTTCCCAGTTGTATTCTCACTCTCGTAAGGGCCCAGGTCGACGTCGATTGGACGATCAGGTGGCGTTGAAATCAAGTTGTCAGAGGTGAGGGAAAAGTCCACTTTGACACGGGGGTAACTGGGTGACCTGGCAGCCGCGTGAGATCGGGATCTGATGTTGTTTCTGTAGCTCCTATAAAAGAACTCATCTGTCTACTCTATAGTCTACAAAGTGACATCGAAATAGCTTCACCAAACCAGCTATTTCGATATCATCCTGAATATTGAAGATGTAATTAGTCTTCGAGCGAGTAGCTGACCTTATATTTTCGAGATCGAACGTGGCTACCACGACCTCCACGTCGTTTAGGGCGAACTGCTTGCCCCGATTCAAGACCTGACCGTTCAGGGTGATAGAGGACCCTCCGTTGAAGTAGAGCCTAGAACCGTCGCAGCCTCGCAAATTGCTGAACATGTAACAACCCCCGGACTTGAACGTGGCTGATTTCACGAGATCCACGGTCACGTAGCTCTTTCGAAGCTCGAAGTACGATCCGCTGCCTTCAAGGAAACGTTCGAAATATTAGGCACAATCAGACTCATCTCTAACGCTTACAATGCTCATCAAGAGTGTTAATAATCTCGAGTGGAAAGTATGAAATTCAAAACGAGGAGTCGACTCAATGAACCTCGAATGATTTCGTAAATTAAGTCGAGTACCATTTGCAATAATTTCGACGCCATCGAAGCACATGGGGATGTGATTGCTCATGGGGTTCCAGAGTTCCTCGCAGATTTCGAAGCCCACGCAAGTGTCCCTGGTGGAGATGACAGCGTCGCCAAACGGTACCACGGTCTGCCCAGTTATCTGAGAGATCATTCTGGGCAGGAAGTAGTCCTCCACAGTGCGTTCCTGCACAAACGATCCAAAGTAGCCCCAAGAACACGCAACGATCCCTGATATTTAACGCTAAATTTGCTAGACTCGTCGAGTTAGAGATTGAATTTAGTGACCTTGGTCCAGGCCGAGAACCACCTGGATTCCCTGTAATTGCCGTCCTCGCACATCTGCATCTTTGGCCTGATGAGTAGGACTCGTCTGTTCAGGAAGGCCACTCTGCAATTGTAAGTGACGTTCTTGTGCATGACTGGCATACCAACGTCTATTAGCATGCCCTCGGCTATGGACGACTTCAGGATCGTCGCGAGAACTTCCCAGCTATGGAGCAAGGTGTCCGGCTCGTAGAAGTGGTCCTCGCAGCTGTACCCACTGTCAAACAACCAACGATTAGAAATAGCAGACATTTTCGAGCCCTGAAAATTTTGTATCCACCCTTTCGACTGTTCTGTATATTTAGGAAACACGTGGACCAATATTTAGCAAAGTATAGTACACCAAATAAAACTTTTAAATTGACTAGCACCTTGCCTTTACTTTGAGATAAAATATCCCAAATAATTTCTATTAAACTCGACTAGTTTACCATATTTCCAACTCGGGACCGCTCCTGTAAGTGGCACCTGCGTCCTTGGCTTCCTGAATGCTTTGGAGGATCCTCCTGGAATTCCCATCGAAATCCATCGCCCATTGGTTCAAAGTGCACACAGCTACCGTCACCGTGCGACCCATCTTGCGAATTTCCTCCTCCACGAACGTTTCCAGCAACGAGAACAACGAAACTAAGATCTATCTGCAACAGAATCCACCATTTCCAATATCAGTGACGATCGCAGGAATTGTCAAATATGTTTTCGTTAATTCACTATGGTCGTGGCCCGAACCTATCGATTTGGGGAGCTCATTGATCGCCAGGAAGGATATTCAACCATATTCCGTCGACGAAACGCCAGGTTCTGTTCTCCAGTCCCGACGTACGTTGATTGATCAATAATTTTCAGAAGCAGAGGGAAAGAGAAAGAGAGACGGATGCAAATTGCTCGACTGGGTTCGTGCGACCATGCTAAAGAATGTCTGCGAAGACTCGGAGGAAACTGCGAATTCCTTCGAATTAGGCGAAGCCACGCAAAAGGACGATTGCTAATTTTTAATTGGGCGGTTGGAATTCCAGAATTTTTCGTACCTTTGATATTTACTGATTTTAAGAAAGTTGTTTCGATATTTTTTTATTGACTTATTTCTATAAATTCATCTGAATGTACAAGAAGCATGATTCTTTACATAAAACGTGACAGGATTCACGATTTAGATTTGATTTCAAATGTTCTTGACTGGATAGTCCCCCTTGCAGTCAGCTACGTTGCTCAGAGATTTTTTAAATAATAATAAACTTCGATTACTTTCATTACCAACCCCCTTTGTGAGGATGCAATTTATGGAATTTCAAGGATTTAAAAAATGCAATGGATCAAGTACCTTGCCTTTATTGCCAGCAAATAAGCAATTTCTACTGTAAAATAGCAAGGGATTGTTTCAGTGTCTCAGTATCTCGTTACAAAATGAAAACTGGAAATACTATTGATTCTATCGAGCATAGTGAGCAATTGGGAAACAGTAGTTAGATTAATTAGATCGTATAAGGTAGAATTTAATGCAAAATGGCGAGGAGAATGATTGATTTTGCGTACATCGTTTCCCCGAAGAGCTGTACCGGAACAGGGTGCCTCGAAGCGAAGATCGATAATGGAATTTCTCGTTTGTCGGGATACCGGCTTGGCACGTTACGTGGAGGTAGCACGACGAACCTCGAGGTACGAGAGGGCAACAAACAATCATGAAGCCAGTGGCTCCGCCCCCGTTTCACCGTTGTCAGGCAATCGACGAGGCAGCCTTCGCGGAATTCGTCTTCCTCGAGGGCAAAGTTCCTCCACGCAGTTCGCGCGGCGTATCTGACCCGGGTACAGTGATCACGATCCATCAGATCACGGTCGTTTCCCTCGCGATCGCGACGATATGACCAGTCGCTGGACCAAACGCGTCCTTCCTCCTAACGTCGAGCAACAGTCTCGCTCTCGATCGAAATAGAAATCGCAAGTTTCGTTCGAGAACTATACAGGGGTGAGTCTAGCCATCTGAATCACGGAATTCGAGGGAACAAGGAACCACGAAAATGAGGAGCAACGAGAAGCAGTTCCCAACTTCGGAGCAGAACGACGACGAGGCAGACAATGACGAAGAAAATGACGATAACGACAGATAACGTGAGATGACGGAGTTCCTGACTGGAAGCAGGGTCCAAGAGCTTCAAGCCATGCTGTTTCCGGTTCAACCGATCCCTGGTAATCGCGAGTATAATTTTTATTCACTGTTCAAACCGATGGATAATTGATTAAAAGTATTTTCTTCAATGTTGAGCACCGTTGAACGAGTCTCTTGACATTTCTCTATTTCTTTTTCCAAAGTTTGATATTTAACTTTGTTTTTAGTATCTTTTAATATTGTTTATTCGTCACAGGTGGGGCCCTGGCAAACATTCAGAGGCTCCAAGAGTTGCAGCTGCTGCAGCTAGGACGTTACGAGGTACAGCGACAGGAACCGGAACTTCCGTTGAAGGAGACCCTTCGAACCGCGTTGGACACACGCTGCATGATCGATGGGATCACTCAGGAAGCCGCGAGATGGCCCACGGAGTGTCAAGTACGAACAAAAATGAATGGCAATTTTTAAAAGTCCATCAATGGATAAAATGGGATCTGTACCTGAATAAAAAAGACCAAATATTTGTCGAGATTTTTACGTGAAAAATTCCAGGTGCTTTCGGAGAGAGTGAGACACATAGATTACACGCCAGCCATTCCGGAATCGTTCTACGTGCCAACCGGAAGGGAACCAAGACCAAAACCATTGGGCGACGATTTTGGAACAGTGGTGTTCCGCTACTATCCGACCAGTATCACCAATTACGTGAGTCAACGTCGAATCGATGTCGTTGCTGCAATCACGAGCCCGCCAACCAGCAATTTGTACGGATGATTAATAGTTTAGCAGATCTTGCGTGGGTGGAAGCATGGTTCTACCGTTCTCAGCGGAATTCCCGGCGGACACCAACGATTCGAAGGACGTGGATATCGACAACGACCTCTTCTTCGTGACCGGGTCGCCCGAAACGATCGACGATAACGATCTTCGGTTCGAGTCTCGTTTCGAGTCCGGGAATCTGTGCAAAGTCGTGAAGATCACCGACACCTATTACCAGCTCTATCTTCGAAAGGATCTCTACACACAGAGGCATACACAGTGGTACTATTTCAGGATATCCAACACCAGGAGCAGAACCATTTACAGGTAAATTGAAAGTTTCTTTCGTTTTAAATATTAAATGAAAAAATAAAAGGTAATCGCAGGAAAAATGCTGAGATAGAATTATTCGAATCTTCTGAAATTGTCTTTCTTTCTTTATACCTCGATAGAACGTTTCGATTTCGAATAATTGCAGAATATCGATCGTGAATCTTTCGAAAGACGAGAGTCTGTACAACGAAGGTCTCCGTCCGTTGCTGTACTCGACGGAAGACGCGAGGAGGAGGTCCGTCGGATGGAGAAGATGCGGCGACAATATTGCTTACTACAGGAACGATTCGTCGTACGTCAACCCGACAACTTTCTTTACGACGGCTCCACGCGAGCATCGTGTCCACTGAATAATCTTTTTCGCTTTTAGAAGCGACGAGGAGAAGGAAAAGCACACGTTAACGTTTAACGTTTCCTTCCCTCACGACAGGGACACCGTCTACTTGGCCCACTGCTATCCCTACACCTACACCGATCTACAGGTAATAAATGTCAACCATTCGTTTAACACTAAAGCTACCAGCACTTTATGTATACCCGTTCAACCGACCAGTTCTCTTTTGTGTCGAAAAATTTTTTAATTTTCACCGGACAGAGGATAAAACGCCCTTGGAAACGAATTTTCTTTCATATCGATACCGTAGTTAGTTTTAGTGAAAACAATTATTTAAAAACAAGTACTGGCTGGTAATTACGCAAACATCCTGTATTCAAATTGAAATTAATTTTCAATTAAATAAACAATTTATGGTCCAGTTTTATCGTACACTGGTCGTACGATCAGTAGGAATTGCTGAAACTTTTTTGGGTACGTAGCGTCAAAGTAAATGACAAAATAAATATAGAAGATAGCAAAAATTATAGTAGGTGATATGGTCATTCGGTAGAGGATGAAATGCCCTTTAAAATGAGCGTTTGTGCGAGTCGATAGCATTATTAGTTCCGGAGATATAGCGATTTTAGTTTCAGGTCGCTGCGGTGGATAGTTTCGAAGATACGTCGCGTGGATCAATGAACTTACTACGGCCTTGTCAAGGTCGTTGACCGCACGTGATCGTAGTAAATAGTAAACGTGACGTCACTCGGTTAGTAGGTCAACGTGCGACAAGGAGGTCCGACGCGACGCGTTAGACGGAGACAGCGATAGTCGAATTACGAAAAATTACCTTTTACATAAATTACGATATCTCGAAAACGGGAGGTCGGATCGACAAAAACCAAAAACCATTTTAAAGGGGAGGCTTTGCCGCTTCTAACAATGCCTCAAAAATTAATATAGCTCCAATAGTTTCGGAACTACACGCATTCAAAGTTTTATGATTTTTAATGCGCGTTAATAGGCCTTTACAAGAATTACCTTTTACATAACTTACGATATCTCGAAAACGGGAGGTCGGATCGACAAAAACCAAAAGTCATTTTAAAGGGGAGGCTTTGCCGCTGCTAACGATACCTTAATAATTAACAAAACACTAATACTTTAGGAATTACACGCATCTAAAGTTTTATGATTTTTAATACCCGTTAATAGGCTATTGTACATAAGACGGACCGAGTGGTAGATTGTGTAATTAATTAAATAAACGCATTTAGGTGTTTTGTAATCGATGGGGAGCAAATTTTGTGTATTTTGTAGTCGGCAGATTCGATAAAAAATATTCATCAGACTCGTGACGATTCGTAGTCAGAAATTCAGTGGTTGGAACTGTTTTCGGTCAGACATTCTAGTAGTAGTAATCTGTACTATTAGTCGAACACAGGCTTTGTATTTGTTTCTATGGATTCCTGCGCAATTCGAAGGTTGTTTATGAACATTTTCAATATTGCATGTTAGGGATTTTTAAATCTTGAGTTAAGCGTTGAGAGTCGATATTTTGCAGCAAAGGTTGGGCTACGTGTAATGTAAATAATAGTACTTTTTACATTGAAATCGTCAGGAATACTTGGCGAGGCTGGTTGCAGACCCCGTGAAAACTAGATTCACGAAGCTACGATTGCTATGTCGGACACTGGCTGGAAACGGAGTTTATTATTTAACGATCACAGCTCCGACCTTCGACGAGGAGGTGCGAAGGAAACGAGGCATCGTTATCACAGCAAGGGTGCATCCTGGAGAGACACCTTCCAGCTGGACGATGAAGGGGATCATCGACTTTTTAACCGGGGACACCGATCAAGCCAAGGTGTGCATCAAAACTGTAGTCATCGAGCCCTAAACTAGATCAATTGGAAGATCGACTGTTTTAAAAATTCCCTAATACCGTGTCAGCGTTTTTAAAATTGTACACTCGAAGAGGGCGTAGAGATTACTTTGAAAAATTGTAACAGGCACTGCGAGAGAGATTCGTGTTCAAGCTGGTGCCAATGTTGAACCCCGACGGTGTGATAGTCGGCAACAATCGGTGTTCATTGTCCGGGAAAGACCTGAATAGACAATACAGAACAGTCATGCGTGAGAGCTACCCATCCGTCTGGCACACGAAATTGATGATTCGCCGTCTGCTGGAGGAATGCGGGGTAGCCATATACTGCGATCTACACGCCCACTCGCGAAAACAGAACATATTCTTCTACGGGTGCGAGAACAAGAGGGCAACCCCTCAAACTAAACTCTCCGAGCAAGTGTTCCCCCTGATGCTCCACAAGAACGCCGCCGACAAGGTGAACTATCCTCGATCAATAATCCATAATCGATCTACGATCGATTCTTCTACCCTGTTAATTGCTTCCCAGTTCTCCTTCGAGAACTGCAAGTTCCATTTGGAGAAGGGCAAAGAGGGCACGGGGAGGGTCGTCGCTTGGTCCATGGGGGTGCAAAACAGTTACACGATGGAGGCGTCGATGGGTGGATCGACGATCGGATCCAGGACTGGCAGCCATTTTTCCACACAGGACTACGAGCAGATCGGAAAAGTGTTTTGCGAAACGTTGCTGGATTTCTTCGACCAAGATCCCTTCAAGGTATTACAGTCGCTAATGATTGCAATAATTGAACAATTTTACACTCGACTCATCTTCTGATTGTCCCCCAAAAAACTGTTGGATCTGAAATCTTGGTGAGCAAAATAACTCGATTGATTTTAAGTTAGTGGCAAGTCTGAGAACAGTTTTCGTTTAGGCAAACTGAAGGAACGACTACGGAATAAAATAATCGCCAGGCTGATGAAGGAGGGCTCCAGCGCGGAAGAACCGACCAACATCGACTTGACTGACTATTCTAGGTACTGATCGAAATATTAATTAGTATAGAGACTGGCCCTCTTTAGAAATAATTTCAGTTTATTCTCAGAGAGATTAGGATTTTTTTCAATTTTACGTAGATATTTACTGTGTCGTAATTGAAACAAAGTTGAACTGTACATTGTTAGCGACGAAGGGGACACGTCGGACAGTTTTGCCTCGGAGAAAGAGGGAACAGAGTTCAACGGTGGAACGTGGACTTGCGAGGTAAGAGGGTCAACCCCTTCTCCTCAACACCTTCGCGTGCCACCGTCGACTCCCACGTTCGTTCCGCCTCGAAGCTTCGAATTGGCAAAAAGGAGAAGCAAAAAGGGAGCCACGACCAGCAAGAGCTACTTCCAACGCAAAAGAATGCTGGTAAAAATTCCTTAAACGAACCAGACCAGGGCACGAAGCGCCATTTTGGACGTTTAAAACTACAAATTAAAGTTCTTTGACCGTAAAAAAATCATTTAAACATCCCTGATATACAATAGAAGAACTCTAATTAACAATTATACAATTTTAAATATCGCTACTGACACTAGGGAAGGCTTTAAAATTGTGAAGACACCAATTTAATTATTCTTCATATTATAATTTTAACAAATGTTGGAGACATCTCTGGACACGTTGAAAAGTAGAGTTATCATATTTATTAATCGGTTATTCAATATCAGTCTTTTAATAATAAATACTTGGGTCTGAAGAAAATCTCTCGTATTAGAAAAGGAACGAAGAAAATAAATACACTCACCTTGACGATTAAACAGCAGCGATGCACCACACAAAAATTACAATTTACGAGTTTCGTGACTCGGACAGGAACACGTGTAAGCATATACTCTCTATGGTTGTCGGGAGACTACTAGCGTCAGACCACCCACTGCCCCGCCATCGAACTGTATAATGCCCTTTTCTGATACTCTCCACTTCCGGGGAACAGAGGGTGGACCTTTTTGCTCTGGTTTGCACAGTGTTTCTCCACTCGAAATGTAATTTCTCTTTACATCACTTTTTCTAATAATTTAGCGCCATTAAGTTAGTTTTTGCTAGGAGTCTGATCTCTTTCTCTCCACGCAATACATCGCATGTGCACACGCTGATTAACCATAGAAATCGATGATTTACTGTACTTGTGATAACTCTCAGGCCAGGAGAGCGGTAATGGACTTGCCGATTACGGATCCAGCCAGCGATCTATACGATCTAACTGACTCTGCGGACGAAGATGCGATGAGACCAGAAGGTGATACAAAAAATCAGTATCAAAATCAACTGGCCGTTCGAGGGACCAGTTGATCTTGTTCCAATTACAGAAAATATAGATCCAAAGAACTATAATGGTATCGTTTCGTCGAGCAGATTCTTCAGTGGTAACTCGTGAACGCCACAAGGAGGAATCGATGGACAGAGAGATGCAAACAAATGGGAAGGAAGTAGCCAACGATGAATTGATCCTACCGGAAATAACGAGGCCCCGTAGCGTGTCGTTGGACGAAAGAATAAGCGACAACAAGGAAGAACGTGCTTTAAACGAACGACCACACTGCCTTCGCTTGGTCAGGTGACGACCAATCTAAAACATTCTGGAAAAAATATTTTTGGTTGCAGGGGTCAATTGTAATCATTTTTGGTCAACAGACGTACCCCCGAAATCCTACCCACTTTCTAGAAAAAAATTCGAGATGTGAAATTTTTCGACGAAAACAAAAAATTTCAAATCGTTCTGGAAAAATTATTATCAGTTGTAGGGGTCAATTACAATCATTTTTGGTCCATAGACATACCCCCGAATTCCTACGCAGTTTCGAGAAAAAAATTCGAGAAAGTGTGAAATTTTTCGACAGAAAAAAAAATTTCAAATCGTTTTGGAAAAATTATTTTCGGTTGTGGGGGTCAATTACAATCATTTTTGGTCAATAGACATACCCCCGAAATCCTACGCAGTTTCGAGAAAAAAATTCGAGATGATGTGAAATTTTTTTACAAAATTGACATTTCAAATGTTTCAAAAAAAATTATTTTCGGTTGCAGGGGTCAATTACAATCATTTTTGGTCAATAGATATACCCCTAAAATCCTACGCAGTTTCGAGAAAAAAATTCGAGAAGATGTGAAAGTTTTCGACAAAATTAAAAAATTTCAAATCGTTCCAAAAAAATTATTTTCGGTTGCGGGGGTCAATTACAATCATATTTGGTCAATAGACATATCCCCAAAATCCTACGCAGTTTCGAGAAAAAAATTCAATACGTGCGAAACTTTAAATGTTAATAACTTTTTAACGAACTCTCCATCAACAAATTGGTATTCTTGATTTTCGTCTTAATTTGGTCTCTAGAATCTCCGATTAAAATTTGTATACAGCCTCACGACAAGAACATGATACCTTTGGGCTAATACGCCATTTCCAAATGGATTTTTAATGCCCACAGAACGCTGAGGCATCGATCGCCCCTGCCTCTAAAAAACCAGGACATTCAAATCAAGTTGAGCTCCCTGCGACAACAAATATGGATGGGAGTGGATTCACTGAACGCGGAAGAAAACATCGAGAAGGGGATCGAGAGACGCTTTGGCAAAGTGCCATTGAGCTGGGGAGTTTCCAAAATGGCGTTGGCTCAGGCCAGAATGGACAGCGACGACTTGCTGAAGTACACTAACTCCAGATGTTATCCATTTTAGAAATTCTCATTACACGTCCCTGCTTTTATCCATTTAATTTCTGTTGAAAGATCTTGCACGAAGAAACTGCAGTCCCTCGGGTACATAAAACGGACGCAGATAAATAAAGACGCGAGTCGCGCGGGGAACGCCAGCCCGGAAGTGGAGGAACCGAAGTCGAGGAAGAAGAAGTCGCGTCTCAAGTGGCAGAAGATAATAAATCTCAGTTCCAGGGTCGAAGAAACGTGTCGTGGGAACGCGTCGTTTTTGACGATAGATGCAGATTCATTGAATTTAGTTACAGTCGAGATGCCATCGACATTACAGACTAGACAACGCAGGATCGAGTCTAGGAGGAAGCATAGAAAAAATGGCGCCGCCTGCTCGTTGGCCAACGCGGCGAAAACGTCGAGCGCCGCGAAATCGAAATCGAAATCGAAATCGCAGATGCGTCCGAAGTTGCAGTCTCGTGTGCGGCTGCAACCGTTGATCGTCCCTCTCTGCGACAGTTCCACGTCGGACACAGACTCCACGGATTCACGGAAACAGCGGGCCACGAAGAAGAAACAAAAGAAAAAGAAACCATCGAAGAAGATGAAGTCGACGACCGCGGCGGAACGGAAGAAACGCGCCAGCAGCGCGAACGCGTTACGCAATTTGTGATCAATGAAACGATGAAATGTTGCAAGAAATTATTTTTCATTTCGAATATTTATAACAGATCCGGAAGCTGAAGATCGAGGACCAAAACTCGAGCGTTGATGATATTGAAACTGACTCAAAGATAGTAACAAGAGTTTGTTTGGTCGATCGTAGTTCTCATCGAGCGAAGAGCATAAGTATATGCACCCTTTTTCACGCTACAGTGAATTCAGAACCTCGTGAAACAATGTCGGAAACGTTTCGAGTAAACAAATTTTATGGTAAAGTCTCTCTATGTGTGAATATTAAAAAAATAACGTTTCTTTGACGGCATTAGTTTTATCTTAATTGGTTTGAAAGTCGAATATCTGGGTGAGGAGGTAAAATGACAAAACTTCTTTTTATTATTCGATGCAAGTTATTTTAACATTGTTCCTTATATTTTCCTGATCAAAATGAGACGGAACATACACTCTTGAATTTTCCGCTGGCCTCTATCTCTTTAACATCCTGAAAACAAATTTTGCAACAATTCACATGAGTAAATATTCAAGTTTAAGTAATTAATAGGTAAGAATATTATGTATTATTTCCAATTACGGTCCTGTGGCAGCAAGTCACAAACACTGTCCTTTTCTAATCTTCTTATCTCTTCTGTGAGCACACGGAACGCTCGAGCCCCGTGTCTTTTACGTACAGAGAGACTTTACTCTATTTTAAAACGTCACTGCACCGTAAATCGTATTACAATAACGGAGCAATTATTATGTAACGAACTATTAAAAGATAACGAGGGCTACGCAACCAGTCACGAGGTAATTAACGAGAGTACTCACCAATTTCCGGTCCAATCGAGAAAATGGCGATAATCGATCGTGTATGTGTGTTCGATGTATCAATCGCGCATTCCTCGAATGACATGCGCGGAAACTGTGTCGCCTCCACGTGCGTTTTTAGCAGGAACTGACAAATGTTCGTTACGACGAAAACATAACCTCACAAACGGTCGTCGACGCCTTTGGTAACGATCTTTGTTAGCATAATTCACTACTTTCGCACTAATCGAGAAAGTAACATCTCAGCGACGGGTCCCGTTCGACGGTGAAACGTTTCGAAAAAGCACAGTATCGAACGGAGCAACAATCCGACGTATCGCGTTTTTTAATACGCGACGCACCGTTTGGAGATTCGATTCTCGTCACGGTCCGTTCGGAACACGACGTGGTTCTTTACACGAATCACTGAGAGTCGATGTTCTTCCCACGGATCTTTAATCAATTGCAACTTAAAAATTTGATCACGCGTAGTACCGTTGTCCGCAACAGTTGTTGCTGTTGTACGATACTGCCATCTGGTGCGAAGACACAGAGAATATTTACGGCGGATAATGATCGCGAGAGCGAACAAACTTCCTCTTCCAATCAGAAGCATCGATTACTTCCGGTCGAGCGAAGTATAGTGTATAAAACGCACGTAAAAATTATGAATGTGGCCAAAGTTACTTACTTTGATTGTGGCACGGTGACGTAACGCTATATCGATGCTAAATATATTAAAATACCATTCTCATTTCACTCACGTATTTTGAAAACTATAATAAGCGTTACACAATTTGTAAACTTCAACTTTTTAAATATAGAAACTGAGATTTATGATAAAATTATTAATTACAGGCTTCTTTCAACGCCCATACCACCTACAATAGTGAATATATTTCAGTGAAACTTTTTTCTGAAATAGAGCTCATGGGTACCTACAAAAAAGTATTAGACAACTTTTCTGTAGGGCGTAACAATAATATTCTTATCAGAAGACCCCGCCAACCTCCCAATTTAATTAATAAACAGTGTCTAAAGCTTATTATTATTATAATAACCACAGCAGTGTCTACATAAAGTGACTGCATTCTTGTCCACTTAATTGTTCGTTCAATTTGTCCGTGATGCTCCCTGTGCATTAATTAAAGAAAGAGTGCATCGGTGGTGCATGATTTGCACAGCCATCCACGGCAAAACGTCCAAGTTTGTCGAGAAATCCATTTAGCGTGGACGATGCGAACTATTCCACGACAAACTTGGGCGTTTTAACACCAGAGGGTTTGAGGTCGGAAATGCGCGCCATCTAGCGTCGCTAACAGCGAACTATTTGACGATAAACTGGAACAAATCATGCACCACCGATGGGTCACTCTTTCTTTAACTAATGCACAGGGAGCATCACGGACAATTAAGTGGGCAAGAATGCAGTCACTTTATGTAGACACTACTGTACTTATTATAATAATAATAAGCTTTAGACACTGCTTATTAATTAAACTGACGTACATATAGTCTCAAGTTTATGTATATTATGCTTGACACGATGTGAAACCGTGTATTTGCTCAAAGAAACGAAAAAAAAAGCAATATGTGTTGCAGTATCAAACAGGGAGGTTGGCGGTGTCTTCTGACAGAAATAGGACTGTTTCTAGACAAGTTTGGACCTTTGGCGTTAATTGTGAAGCATTTATAAGTAATCTAAATCACTGAGTACTCTATTATTGCATTAATAAATAAATTAAAATTAGTTTTCGTTCCTAAGTAATTGGAACACTATCTAGTATGTAAAAAGTAAATTATTTCTCAAAAAACTTAGACGTTTATGGTAAATCTCGTCTGTGGTAGTACTACTAGTTCGGTGAATTTTTGGTAAATTCTAAGATCGAGGAATTTTTGTTAAGGATCGGAGATGGCGACAGATAAACGAGCGATGTATTAATTCATTAAAAACGGTACAGTTTAATCGTCATAAAATAAATACATCATTTGTCTGCAACGAGTTGTCTGTATTATACAAAATTACTTATTCTACGCGCTAAAAGTGTAGCTCTCATCACATTGGGTCTACGGTTTCTCGGGTTTGGGCAACAAAAGTTCTGCACGCGTTTCCACCATACGACGAATTAAATTCGATGGCGATTGTAAATACTGGCCGTGTACGCGGTCATAAGAAAGCGTGACTATCGTAGACACCCGCGGTAAAGACTGCTGTGCCATAATAATTAACGAAATATGCTTGCGGTCAAGTATGATCTCGAATAAATTAAATAAAATCCCGAGGAGTGCTCCTTTCCGTTGTTCGAAGTTCACCTTTAGATTAAAAACCGTCATCCACGTGTCTCTTAACCCTAAGATTGCTTCGTGGGAATCGGGTTTAAGACTTGCGCGATTACGATCTCACGCGAATCGCTGGAGAACGGGGACTTCCGGTTTCGTGGCAGCGAGCTTACGACGCGGGGGAGATCGTAAAGCGATTTGAGCAATGGGAACGTCGCGAACAGCGACAAGATTCGTAAAAGCTCGCCACGCGTCCGCGGATTCGACGATTTGCACTCGATTCCAGAGAGAAAGGCTATCGTTAATATACAAACTTAAGGAGAATCGTGCGCAGAGATTCAAATAACATCTGGCAACCCACCTAAACTAACGCGACGCTGGTTGAGGCTTTTTCGGAGGAGACGATCAATAGCTGGCGACTGGAAGCCATAATTGACCGGAGGACAATTAAATTATTTGAAAAATTGTAACAAATAATCTTTAGAATATCTGTTGAATGTGGTTGAAAGTTCCATCCTACCTGGGAGGTCCAATTTTTCTCTCTGACTCAAAATCATTTTTTTTTCAGGCCCATCGAAGGATCCACAATGGCCACACCAACCAGACGAAGTGCAAACGAGTGCAATTAAATATCGTGGTCGCCAGATACCGTGAATTAGTTTGAAAGAGCCTCAACTCGACGTCGACGACAACCAAAGTTGGACAAAATTATATAACCATCGAAACTAAACATATAAATACCCACCTTCCCTTTTATAATCAACAATTTTAATTTTATTCAACGATCAACGAACAGATTTCGATAATTTTGTCCATCCCTGATCTCCTTACCCTATCATGCATTTCTTTGTACATATATAAACTACACTGGAACATACAACCAAACATGTACACACGCACGCACAGAAAGCGTGAAAATAGTAATTTCATACGCACATATCCTGCGTGCAGAATAACAATGGGGGCAAACGAGCCGGCTGATTCGATTCTCGCTCGTCGATCGACGTGTTCGTCGAAACGCATAAAAATTTAGCCCGACTGACGTAAACGGGGATCAACGAGCGAGTCCAGAACACTGTTCAGCCTGATCGTCTTTGTTCGTAAGCGATGTTCACGGTTTCAACGTGTCTTGTTCCTTGAAGCCTCGATTATCGATAAACACACGGTTCCGCAGGCCGTTGTCCGATATGTATCCGGTCGCCATTTTGTACTGGTTCGCGTACATCACGCCGTTCTCTTTTCCCTCGTTCTGCGTCGACGGTTCCTTGCGATCCTTCACTCCGTTCTCGTAGCTCTCCGATATCTTCCTCTTCAACGCCATGGACGATTTCCTCCTCTTGTACGTCTTCACGTAGAAGTTCCGGAACAGGTAGTAGAACATGATGGCGTGAGAACCGATCCACCAGACGAACGCCTTCGGGTAGTTGCAGTCGATGAACAACAGCTGGAACGCGTGGATTATCACCAGGACGAACTGGACCATCTGCAGAGTCGTCAGGTACTTCTTCCACCACAGGTACGGCTGGATCTTCGGCCCGAGTGCGGCCAGGAGGTAGTAAGAGTACATCACTATGTGCACGAACGTGTTCAGGAGCCCGAAGAACGTGCCGTGACCGCCTACAAGCCGGAAATCGTACGATTTAACGATCATACTGGGTCGGTTTTAACCATGGATTGGGGAATTGAGGATCTTGCAAATAGGTTCGAATCTTTTTCCGCGTCCTTTTCTCAAACGGAACTCTGTGATTTTGATTGCACTATTCGAAGCGGCTTTTTAATCTCTAAAAGAGGGTTATAACACTTGGAGATTCAAGGATTATTCGAGGGACGCGTGGTGGATATTTTGATCACATCAATATTATACGAAAACGAAGCTCTTCTTCCAGGTCGATTACCATAAAGCAGGAAATCACGTACGATGAAAAGCTGAAAGCGAGATGAGAAAGGAAGAAAGTCACTTACCGGGAGTGAACTTGACGCCGAACCAGACGGATATCGGCATGCAACCGTGATGAATCACGTGGAGTGTGCTGATGTGATCGTTTTTCTTCCTCAAGACAAAGAAGATCGTGTCCATGAACTCGGTGAACTTGGAGAAGTAGTACCACCAGCAAGCGTGAGCCATTCGTACCGCCAGTGGGTTGTTCGAGTAGTCCACTGGTTGGCAACGTAACGAATAATGGCCTCCCCATCCAGCCACCACGGACTACAAAGCAGACAGGAAACAAACGTAGAGTTTTAGACACCATAAAAGTGGTCCTCGATCGTCAGCGCCGGGAGCTTTCACAATCTACACTTTGGACCGAAATCTAACCGACTACTTTCGATTTTACGTATTAGAACGTCAGGCCTTGAGAAACGACGGTTATCGAAATATTAATAACGTTGGTAAATAACTCCGGAAATCGATGGGTTAACGAACTCTCTGAGATCGAGTCCAATACTCCGATATATCGAAGCTGATCAATTTTAAAGGAACGTTAGTCTTGAGCCCTTTGCCTCTAAATTGAGTACCATCAGCTTCGATTTATCAAGATGTCAGACTCTGGGGACCTCCATTTGTTAGCGAGGGATGATTTGTGAGGAATGAAAGTAGTTTACCTCGGTGAAGAGCCACGTGGAGAAGACCACTTGGATGATGTTGTAAACAATCATGGTGTTCTTGAGATCGAAAGGTTTGCGGTTCTCCATCAGCTTGGGGCCTAGCACTTTGACGAAGTAAACGTAGGACAAGCATATGAGCAGGGTGGGCGTCGGGCCGCTCATCATAGGCCAATCGTTCACCCTCGGATCGCTCTTGTTGTCCATCAGGTCCCGATAGCTATCGTACACGATTTGCAGAAGCTTCGCCATCTGCGATACAATGAATGAACAGTTCACTTAAGGGTAGAAATAGAAATTATCAAAGATTTCAAAGATGTCAAAAACAAGTGGCTTGAGTATCAGGCTCGATCGAGCATTCAACTAAATAAAAATAAAATTCATCCGATTTTCTGATCATTGGGAGATGTTGCGTCTTCAGAACCATGTACGAATCGAACGTAAAAGGAGCCTAACCGCGCCGATGTGAAAAGTTACGAAACCTCTGGAGTAGCCAGCCAGGGCGTAATTCGAAGAACAAACGCGCGATTATACATCGAATTTTACGAATCGCTTCGGACTGCTCGGTTAGAAAGGAAAAAAAATGAAATGAAAATAGTTTTCGGCCATGGAATAGCAATGATTAGCGATGCAAATTACTCGGAACGCGTTAGTCAGTCCGTGATTTACGTCAGACGGAACCGTTTCGTTGACTTTAGAAATTTGAACGCGTGATTTTTTTAATTTTTTTTATACTCATCTCCTCCTCTTTCGTCGGAAACGAACGACAACGCCTCGAGGAAACAGTATTCGTCGCGTACCTTGAATCGACAATGCGTCGATCTTTGCAATAAATCAATGGACGAGTTGTTTTGCTAGCGAAACGTCAGAGTTGAATATATTTGCTAGGCGTTGCATCAATGTTATCTCATTGCCGATATTCGTCAATACTCATTTCTAGATAATCCGTACACGCCTCTTTTCTGAGAGATCTTCGCTTAACAGCGTTTCCTTTAACGAGAATTTTTAGTCGAACATTCAACGCTGGTGGTGAATATTTATTCATTCAAGTATTTCCCCTTGAACATACTGTTTATAAGAATCTCCATCTCTATTATGTCATTTTAATTTGCTTGTACGTCGGCGTTATGACCGGTTCGTTATCGATGATTAGTCTATCCATAATGGTCTGTCACATCAGTTATTATTATTGTTATTACCCGCACATACCATCTGGGTAAATAAAACGACGCTGCGATTAGACTTTTTTTTCGAAACGATCGAGGATGACCAAAAAAAGAAATTGTTTCCCAATCCATCGATAGACGGTTCAACGGTTCTTTCTTTGGTGAACGACACGACAAGTTGGAACTATAAAAATCCACGGGGAATGGGCGCTTTTTAGCTAGTCTTGCGAAATTTAGGAAATCACGGAACTACTTCTCCGAGAAGCTATATGGATCTGAGAGATTGATCGTTTCGAGCGTCGATTTTGCAATATCGCGCGATTAGGGCTGCAAGGGAGAAGCCTGATGGCCTCGCAAAAAACTGCAGCGGATGACAGGTAGCGATAGAAACAAGACAACAATTACCGATCAACTTATACGCGTAACAGTGTTGTAAACATACATGGTAATACGGGCAAGTTCTCACGATGCGGCGCTAAACAGTAGCAGACAGTCACGACTCGAGACAATTATCATTCATTGAATTTTGCAATTATCTATTCATCTTATTCATCGATGTCTTTATCAAAAAGCCCTTTGGAAAATTGATATTTAAAATTTAGATACGTTCTATAATTGGCGTTTGAGTGATTGTGGATCGATTGGCTCGAGTGTCATAAATACGTAATCGCATCAGTCCCATCGCTACCGGCGAGGAACTCGTTTCTGTCGCTTAAAAATGCGGCCCATCGTCCAGGATCCCGATCCTCCGCCATTGGATCATGCAACTCGGTTTGCTCCTCCGCGATTCGCGCTCGTTTTATGCCAGAAATTCATCCTCCCCAGAGATCGATGCTCCCAAATATTTTCTTGACGTCTGAATATCAAAAGCAGATCGTAACAGATCGCCAAGACTTTTCATAAGGATTCGATATAGAATATCACGTATCCAGGGATTTCTAATACTCGCCGATTAGGATTTCAAGGCCCCCCACATAACTTATTCGCATTTTCTCGTATCGAGCGCGTTCCAGTCGCACGGTCTACGCATAATATCGAAGTATCGTAGCCAATTGGAAAGGATTAAACGCAAATTTCTCTGTTCCACCCCGCCCAGGATCGGCCGTGTCACAACGTAATCATACTACTTGCAAATTCCCGGCTCGCTTCGCACGCGTACGCGTAAACGACATAGAAAAGCCGACATTATAAACCTCTGTGATAGACTGCCTCGTGGCTTACAACAAGTCAGATTGTCTTTAATACCCTTTTGAGGTATCTACGTCAACCTTCTCCGTTCTTTGGCTGTCCTCGTAGAACCAGTTACTCCGACAATGGCAATCTCCGTCAGCCTTACTAGGTTACTTATTAAAGCGAACCAACCTCCAGACACTATTTTCAACGCGCTATACATGGTGCTTCACTCAACTTGGACGAACTGTATCTTTTCTAATTTCTAAAGCAAGAATTAAATAACACTCGATTAAGATTTTTCGTCCACGTTGTACCGAAACTCTGTCGAAACTTATTTTCTATCCGTATCACTGTGTTTCAATCGTCATTTTCTCGCGCCATTTTACTTTTTCTCGTCAATTTCTTCTGCTATATCTTGCCGTTCTAAATTCATACTTTCTTGATCCCCAATGGTTTTCTTGCTTTATTGCTGCGACGTGGTTCGCGGTCCCTGTTGTTTCGCCCACCCAAAATTCGTGTATTTTTGTTTTCGATGCAAGGTTCTCTTATTGTTATCAGGCATGTGCGAGGAAACATAATATCGAATAAGGAAATTGAGCCTCGAGCAAACGTTTGTGATTTATTAACTCGAGAAGAAGAATTTCAAACAGCCAGTTAATCAGCTTCGAGTGTTAATATCGAATTTGTCACATTTACGAGAGACGCAGAAATTTACGATTAACGCGTAAGATTGTAAAATAGACGTTATCATACTTATATTTAATTTCAAAGACGAGAGAAGAGACGATCGACTAAATATGCACAGATCGTCGTTCCGTTTTTCCCAATCGTTCTATCTATCGAAAATTCACGATTTCATTTTACCGGCTCCTATAATTTGTCACCGTCGAGCGGAATAAAAATACGATCAACGACACGTGGCGGTGTTTATTCCTCGTTGCACAAGCGATCGGCGTGGCTCAAATTTCCAATTCGATTTTGCAAGTGATCCGCGCCAGAATAGAAATTCGTCGATCGGTCTGGCATTTCTGATTTAATATCGAACGATCGCCAAGCTCTTCGTTTCGCAATTACATCGGTGCAGCCTGTACCAGCGCGACATAATGTCATTAAGAGCGAAGTCTGCTCGAGTCACCTCGACATTGTTTTCCCGCCGATCCGTCCACGTCAGAAAAAGTGATTTCAGAAAAGTGTAAAAAGATTTTGTACACATTGACACCTTCGATTCTAACGCTTGTAAGATCGTAGATCCTCAGGAATGCTCGTAAAAATCTTCTAAGAAATCGATTGTTTTCTTCGAGAGGGAATTTTGGCACACTGCGAAACCGTGTCCCGTTACCTTTCTTGTATGAATAAGCAACCCGTTCGACTAATTCAAAATCAAGCAGACTTTAGGGAATAGTAACGGAACGGGTGCCCCCACTGCTCGCGATTTAGTGTAAAAATAAACGACCGAAAACAGGTAATACGAGCCAGTTTGTTTAATTATGCAGGTGAAAAAAGATATTCGGAAAGAGATCGTAAAGCAAAACGATTGCAAAGGCGCGTCGATGGGCTCAAAGTTCGAACAGGAAACCGTGCTCGAGGAAGCGAACGTTTCCAGATGTTTCCGATCTTTGTCTTACGGATTTTTATTTGTTTTTCCATTCTTCGTGACGTTCGTTTCCGCGAGAAACTAGCTAGAATCGTGTTTGAATTTGAATTCGAGTCGAACAAGAGAACAGTACTTGAGGTATGCTAATTTTTAGTGTAATCGAATTGGCTACCGTGAATCTGTGTTCGTGGGAGAGTCGTGTATCGACGAGCTGGGACTGTCAACGATCGATTTCGAATTCGTTTCGTTTCAGGCGACAGATGAGACTCGTATTCCGCTCCGTATCGTCGTTTTTATTATCTTATTTCCACAAAGAGTAGCTGGGAACGAAGAACAACCAGCGACACGCGCGCGAAATAGACAACTTAGGAAATATATTTGCAATGTAAAGCCTGCGGACACGCAAGGCTGCGAGGCAGGCGTCGCGTGATGCAATTGAAATCGCTGCTCTCTCGCCTGGCGATTCCCTTCTTAACTGCCATTTGCTGGCTGGTCAGGTGCATCCTTCTGATATGTTTATTAGGGCTGCAGCCGGAGTCAAATTAGATTTTTTTCCACTTCGGTAGAAGACGCTGGAGGAAACATACCGCGCGGGATTTGTTCTCGAACGCGTCGAGACTAATTTTTTAATTCGAAAATTAAGCGGAGAATCAGCTCGGTGGCGGTTTACTTTGATATTCGAAATTGCAACCACGGAAGCGTTGGGATATTCGACGAGCAAATAATTCCCGAAGAAGTGCCAATCCTGACGTTTATCCGCTAACGAAACGAAATCGCGTCGATTATCGTCCACGATAATTTGGGGACTGGCCGTCTAAAATCGACTCGGTGGACGGATCGATACGTCAAGTAGGCAAACCTGTACTTTGATCCCGTGATTGACCGGACGTTGATCGTAGATCTTCCTCATTTTTGTTTGACGATTACGTCATGTCGAGGACCGAGATTTGAAGGCAGACGTGTTAATTTCTATTAGTCGTGTCACTTCTAACGAAGAAATTACTATTTTAAGAAGATTTGCCAAGCGACGTTGACCTTTGTTCCGCGTTTCATTTTTTATGTATGTTCGAACAATACTTCGATAGAGATCTAGTTTTCCTTAATTGCTAGAGACAGAGTGCTGTAAACAGAAGAAGTTAATTAGCAAGCAGTCAATTATTGCTTGCATTTACTATTATGAACGATCGAAGAGGCACGGTGCAAAAACATTTGTCGCAACAACTTTGTTCAAAGTAAAACACAGAGATAAATCACGTTGGCGATAAATCACACTGATCGAGAACCGCAAAAGTATATCGAGACAGGTAGTTTACAGACGTTGTCATTATGCTATATTTTAATTTCCTTATATTTATCATTCTTATTGAAGTTGTAATTATTTTATATGGCCAGTATCTGTATTGGGCTCAAACACGATCGTGCTAATTTTTTTCGGGAAGTCACACTACGCGTCTAAATTTACCAATGGTCAACACTTCGTCGCCCAGTAAACGGTAATTTCTTCGAGAAATGTTTGCTATATTATGAAAATATTAGGAGCAAAATGAAAATTCATAGATCAGTTCTTCCACTGGTAGATAACGCACTAAAACAGGAAACGATTTAAAAAATCGCAAGTCAAATACTTGTATCAATATTCTACATTGTAAATTGTAATGTTCATCTATTATATATCGATGTTTTTAATCTTTCACCAAATATCGTGTTGGGTGAAATTTTCTATTTCCTCTGTGCTACGAGTTTTCATACTTTCTTCACTGTTTTTAAACAGCAGCATTCTCCACGAACCGCACAAATGTTTCAAACTAGCAGCTTTCGAGCCACGATTAAAATGATAAAATGTAATTCCTTTTCAATTATCAGCACAGAAGAAGAAACAATCACCCAACGGACGACACTAAAAACCATGAAACGATGTATAATTCGTAAACTTTCGGATATTTCTCAAAGGGCACCCGGTCGATAATAAAATATTGAAACAACCAGAGCGTTAAAAAAGAAACAGGTGAAAAAGAGGAGCAAAAACAATTGGCCACGGCACGTTTTGGGGTACGCACGGTCACGATCGATTCTACTCACTTTGAGGTCGAAGGGCACTCCGGGGTTATTTTTCTAAAGATCGTTAATTGATTGCAGCGGGCGCGTAATCACCACTACGTCGAGATCGATCTTTGCATCCAGCGTCGAAGAGAGCACCTCGTGCTTGACCACCTTCGTGGAAACTGAAGGCCCAGCATGAAAACCGTGTTTTATATCTGCATAAGCTCGTGACACCTGTGCCTGCACGTTGCCCGACGGTGTCGCGAGGCACAACACCATACCCCACCAACCTCCATCGGAACCAATTGTCACTCCTCCGATCACTGTCGATTGTTCTCGATCGTTCAAGGGTCGTCCGCGCGCCCACGACGCTGTATTCGGCTGTGGTCGCCAACCGGCACGACAGGACAACAATTAGTGGTCCACTCCTCGAAGGGGATAAACGCGTTCTATCCGCTCGTTGCGTCGCGTCGGGATACGTACCTTTTGCCAGACGATCCCCAGGCTCCGCTTTCGGGAACCTGTTCCTTCGCTCGATCGCCTTGGAACCCCTTTTACCCCCGACAAAATAATTTCCACCACCGAGTGACGGACTAACAGTGCGCCCTACCGGAAGCCACGATGGCCAACTCCCTCCGCGTGGTGTTCCCGCGTTAACGGATTAAACAGATCGTGTGCAAAGGTAAGACTAATCGGTGAGGATCGTCCACAGACTGGCGTAAATATCGTTCACTGGCGAAGAGAATTTTTGAAGAAATTATTTTCAGTCACGTTTTAAAGAGTTTAATTGTGTCTTGAAAATGATATCGAATAGTTTCCAAGTTCCTCAATACATTTCCGAGACAGAGTTTAATTCGAACGAATACTACAGTCGATATAATTTATTTTAATTGAACCATGTTAATTTGAAGAATTAATTTTGTCTTGAAAACGATTGTTTCCTAGTTCCCCGGCACATTTGCAACTGTTTTTTCGTCGCCGCCGCTCTATTATAGTCTCCATATTAGCATTATGTATCGTAACTGAATTTCGTTAACATTCCCGTTGGAGCAGTTTGGATCAAAAGTGAACGAAGATCGAGCCGATGAAATTGAACGTTAACGAACGCGCAAAAAACATCGGAGACGGCTTAATATTTGAATAAAGTTGGTTGTGCAATAATGCGTCGTAAGTGATCGCCGAGCAAAGAATCTTCGGAATGCATTGTTTGTGTTTCTAGACGACTCGTTGTTGTTGAAAGGATCTCCCGCGTTTAATCGAGAAAGGGGAATCGTTGGGTAAGAAAATGAATAACATAAAAGAGTGCTGAAGCTAATGGTTTTCTAGCTGAGTATAATCGATGGAGATACGGTGAACGGATGCACGGTTGAAGGTAGGAAAATGAGAGCCCAAGCGATAAATTACAATGTTTGGCAAAACGTAAGTAACCGAATAAGCAAGGCCCTGTAAACGAACGAGGAGACATCGTTCGTAATTATTCGAACAACGGCGTAACATAATTTTTTGCTTGAAAATGTATTGAAAGATTAATTTTCTGACCCCCGCCGAGTTATTCAATTATCAACGGGGTTAATTCTTATTAGAGATCACAATAGCAAGCAATTTTATGACTTCGAATAATTACCTGTTCAACAAGACGCATTGTATTGGGACTCGTTTACGTTCGAGTCGTGCTTGAAACTCATTAACGCCTAAAGCAATAGCATCTTTTGCTTCATTTGCAATTGTAACTCAGGACGAAACATTCTGTAACGCCAAACGTTACTGTAATTCTTCCTTTTTTTTCGTATATAAAGATTCAATAATTTTTAATACGCTTCAAATCGATTAGTGGCGCTTTAAATAGAAAGATATAAAGAGTCACAAGATTTTATTTTTTATCTGCATCATTTGATTGCCAAAATGGTTACCCTATGGCGTAGAAGAAGCGATCGAAAATTTTCGGAGCTAGCCTCTAATTGGTCAGTAGCATTCAAGGACATTAAGTTGCCTCCTTCATGTAGAGATTTTAAAAAAAATTCTCTTTGTTTTAGTTTTCGATTAGTGAAGGTCTGTAGAATATTTTTGTTGAGATCAAAAAATTAACGGCGTGGTGCGAATTTAAATGAGACGACTTACGAACTGCGAAACTGACGAGTTTCGGCAGCGTGCTAAAGCTCAGGGGAAACAATGCTCGCATAATAAAAATTCCCTGATGACGGAAAATTCGAAAAAAGTGTTTCTTTCTGCGTAAAAATAGCTTCGGCATCCGATGTATTTTATAACGAAATTAACGGTACACTATTTTTTTGCAGGCCATTCTCCGAAAGGTGCGACGGGTCACGCCAGTAGCAAACTCGGTGCAAAAAAATTACCAAATCTACTCGAACGTGTAATAAACTCAGTAATCAATTTAAATTTAACGTTTATGTAATAATGTCTATATAAAAAAATTCACACACATCATGCGTTTTCTGCTTGCGTTCGGACACATTGAAAATCCTGTCAAAAAATACAACGAGGAAACTGGAACTGAAAATAAACCAGGATCAGGAATTAGTTAATTGGTTAACAATTTTCGATATGTGGGACTCGGTAGGATTCTTTTTGGTAACATCAAGTACTTTCTAACAGTTTAACACGCATTCCACTGACGTTCCAATACGATTATGTCAGCGTTCGTAACAGCGCGAAATTTATTTTTGAGATGGCCAATTTATTTGCTCGATCTTTTAGGAATTTTTACTTGCCATTTTTGTATGCATACCAATCAGAGCTGTTTCAATAACGAACCCATGGTTATTTAATGCAAAACGCAACAAACCAGAGGCCACTTTTGCGTTGGATTCTGTTTGAAGATTCAGATTTTGGAATTCATTGTTCGTGACGTAGGTTTTAATGCATCAACAGTGAATTATTCATACTACTTCATGTAACGAGTAGCAACAAACGTCGATCAGTGTTATGCTAACCAGCACCACTTCGACAACGAATATCAACCGTTAATTGGTATTTAATGTCAGGTCTCAGAGGTCTCAAACATTGAGTGTCTTACTGATTCGACCATGTTTATAAAAATACCTTTCTCGATATCCTTTTGCACGAATGTTTTACGACGCGATAAGCTTCGAGATGCGTTTCAAACATGGCGTATATTGAAATAAATGACGTCGAGGATCGTTCCGTAAACCCGATAATCTGCGAATAAATGAACGTGTGCTGAAACGCTGACCAAACTTGCGATAATCGTTGCTTGGATAACGATAACTTGGGTTGTCACGTCTTCGTCTTCCGTTTAAATTTTCTCGTCGAGGTAAGCCACGATTTTTACGAAACTAAAATTTAACCACTTTTTTGACTTTAAGAGAGACGTCCACCCTTTTCTTCGAGCTACCCTTTCTATTCAATCGTTTATAAAATAAACATATAACGAAACAAAGAACAGAAAATATTGTTAGGGCGTTGCATCCGACCCGGCGAAACTTGTTTTTGCCTCGATGTTTATTCGCTGGACGTGATTTTTTTCAGGCCAAACGATCATTGATTAAAACTGAAATAATTAATGCTGAATATGACTAAGGGCGACAACGTAATTGCGGTAGAGAGCAAATGAAATATGTGTTCATTTATGAGAAATAGAAAATAGACGATAATAAGACGTGATTGCACAAAATGGACGATCGGTTAAAGTTTTCGTTTATAGAGAGAGGAACGCAATTACGGTTTGGTCCAGTACGTTTGCGGAGATTTCAACGCGGCGCGTCATCGGCCATCGTAAGCGATTAGTCGAGACCTAGAGCTTCGGCGAATAACTCAAAGACGGAAGTTTCCAAGGTCTTGGAACTCGTCTAATAACGCAGGCGTATCCTCGTTCCTTTTCCCTGTGGCTCTGCCGACTTACTATCATATTTTATGCCCGAGAGTAGGGACCTTGTGGCGATGATTGCGTTTTGTTGTACGTTCAATGACCTCTCACGGCGATGGTAACATTGGCGTACACTCGTCGCGTGGATGCTGTTCACGGCACAAAGGCCACAAGTTACGATGCCTTTTCGTTGCTTGTTTTTATCCTCTGAGAATCCTTTCGTTTCGACTCACAGCGTTGAAACGTAAATCATAACGTAGGCATGATTATACAAAATGTTTCATACGTTTGTATCACGCTGGATCGAGAGTTTTTGCAGAGTCAAGTTTTAAATTGGTTACTCGTTGTATAAAATTTGTCTAGCCTTGCAAAATTTCCGTATGCATATTCTCAGCACGAGGCGTTAGTTTCGTTAATTCTGTGCTATGAGATTTGCAAACACATTTCCCTACTATTTGCATACGTTAAAATCTTTATTCATAGATTTCAACTTGGAACTTTTATTCAACCCTCAATAATTTGAATTTTAATCGAAACAACAATGACACTAGTGTGACTTGAGTTTCTGGTGTGTCATCTCGTACAGCGTAAATGTACCACGCGTGAAAATATTCGTTGCATTGCCAGTCACAGTGAACAGTTGAAAATTAGTATTCGAGGAACGCGTGAGCCACCCGCATACACGCAACTCCACGCCCAGTGTCATTAGTTCTTTATATAATTTACTGTCGTACGTTGTGTGCGATTCGATCGCCGAGGTTGGGTGGTCGTTCGTCGAAAAAATTGTTTCTTTATACAAAATATTTAATCAGTGAACACCCAGTTTACATAAGAAATCGTTTCTCCAAGTTCGAAACAATTAATGTATATTTAAATCTACGCCAATAGTGTTCCGAAACTCCTAGGAAACGTTGGTGTAGCAAGTTCGTGCAAAGGCCATGATTTTTATTTATCTTAATACGTATGGTACATACTCGTGTAAGTATGCATCACATTCATACGTATGCAATTTAACTGAAACATGCATTATGTAGAATATGCAAAATAAAAAGTAAGCGCTCGTGCCGCAACTTCCTATTCGTTACATTAAAAGTGAAAAGTTCCAACTATTGTTCTAAAATTTCCGATTGCGGGGGGCATTTTGTTTCTAACGAGCGGTTCAATACATTGTTTACTTAAGCCATGAATAAATATTACACTTGGATTATGCGAGACGTAATAATATCGATCACAAGCACCAGCTGTTTGCATGAATAATTTTCATTCTTTAATTTACATTCTTCAACGTTATTCTTACCTGTTCGAGTTGCGTTATTGAAACGTTTTGACGGAATATTTCGCGTCACGTTG